CACAGACCCGGATGCCCCACGGGACGGGGTGAGGGGGGATCGTGCGCGACGCACTGTGGGCTTATGAGTGTTTATCAGAAACAGAAAAGCCAGGATAGTCGGATCAAAACCAGAAACCTCCGAACAACACCCAAGTGGGTAAAAACGAGGGAAAGAAAGAGCCTCTGAGCAAGGATGGTGCCCCCCAGAGGGCGACGTGGCTCCTGCCCATTTTCTGTTCGGAGGCACCCTCCAGCACCCCGCTTCCACGCCTGGTTCACATCCGGAGGGACAGCACAGCCGGAGAGGGCAGGGGAGAGCTCCGTGGGCCTCCCTCTCTCTGCCCCACCTCCCCCGGCTTCCTTCCTCCGCCCGCAGCCTCCTCCTGCAGGAAGCCTTCCTTGGATGAACTGGATGAACTGGGGCAGCGCCTTGCCCGACGAGACCTCCAGAGTCCCCAGGGGAAGTACCAGGTGACTTCTGATCCCCGCCTGTAGGGGGGGCACCAGCTGCCCCCAGTAATCACATTCTCATCGTGTGCCTCTCAGAACTCCACAGCCTCAGCCACCACATCAAGGAGCCGAGGAGCAGCTCTGTCTCTCAGGGGCTGGGTCCCCAGAGCCTAGGACGCTGCTTTCCTTGAGGTGCCAGGGGCCCAGCCTTGGGGCTGCTGGCTCCCCAGTGACCTCGGCCCCATCCAGCCTGCTCACTCGGGCCTCTCCTCCAAGCACCGGCTCCAGGCCCGCCCAGCCTGCCCGGCCCGCCCGGCGTCCAGCCCACACTCACCTGGGTCTCGGCTTCTCCTCTGGTCAGCACAGCGCCGGCGCGGGGAGAGCGGGATGGGGAGAGAGACCAGGTGAGATGGGAGCCAGCTCCTGTCTGCAGTCCCCTGGGGGCACCTAGCGGGGGGCTTCCTGGGCTTGGCCAGCAGGGCGACCTGCCTCTCCAGCTGAGCCCCTCACCCCCTTTCCCCACCCTCCAGGAGCCAGTGGGTCTTGTCCCCACCCCAGGGCCAATGGAAGTCCTGGTGGAGTCTACAGAGCAGTGCTGGGTGAGGGGCCCAGGACGCTGGAGCGAGAGGGAGGGCTCTAAGGAGGAAGAGATGGAAGCTCCAAGCAGCGTCCTGGGGGCAGGAAGGCAAGAGAGAAGGTGCGGAGGGAGGGGGAGCGGAGATGGGGGGAGGGAGGAGCACCCCCAGCCCAGGCTCCCTGTCCGCTGGCTGGTCTCCACTGACCATCCCACCCTGGTGTCGGGCAGAAGCTTGGAAACAGGCAGTGCCTGTGAGGCCCTGGCAGCCAAGCCCACGGCGGACGCAGCGCGAAGCAGCAAGGTCCAGCCCTCGGGGCCCCGGTGCCCAGAGAAGAGGAGGACAGACAGGTGGACAGGCGGGCGAGGGAGAGGGATGGAGAGCCCGCAGGACGGCCCTGGGCAGGCAGGGCCTCTCGTCTCAGGGCCTGTCAGGACACAGCCTGAGCGCTGCCGCCAAGGGACCCCTTACCTTCCTCCTCCTCCTCCTCTGCATCTTCGGGGCGTAAGCGCACATGCAAGAGAAGAGCGCGAGGCCGCAGGGAGCGTCAGGGGCACGAGCGGGGGCCCAGCCAGGGGACACGCCCAGACCCCCTCTTGCCTGGGTGTGCGTTGACCCGGCCCCGTTTGCGGCCCCAGCTGAGAGCCAGAGAATCTCTGTCTGGGGAGGGTCTGGAGGGGCCGTGGGCCCAGGAGGGCCTGGGAGAGCCCGCCCCACCCGGGAGGCCTGGTGCTGGCTGGAGGGCGCAGGGGTCTGTGAGCGCTGGCCCCTGGCTTCTTTGAATCTTTCTGCGGGGGGCAGGCGGTCCTGGGGACCTGACACCTGGGTTTTGCTGAGTTGGAACCCAGCGGATCTGGGACAGTTAGGTTCATGAAGTCTTGCTAGTCCCGGTCACAGGCCGTGGGGGGTGCAGGGAGCCCTCAGGCTGAGCCCTGAGGCCCGGCTCCCAGCCGCCCGAGGGAGCCTGCCCTGACACTAAAGAGGGTTCTCTCCTGGAGGCTGCACAGGCCTCCTCTGCCTCTCCCGCCGCCACCCCATGGGGCTGGCCTTATGACCAGAGGCCTGTCTGGACTGTAGCCTTCAGACCTGAGACCCCACCTGCCTGGGGTAACCTGGCTGCCCTCACGAAGGGGCTACGTCCTTTGAGCCTCCTGGCCTTCCCTGGGCTCTGGGGAAGTCCTGGCTGGCCCAGGGTCTGCAGCAGGACCGGCTGTGCCTAACCTCCTGCCCCCCGCCCCCAGCCCCTGCTCTAGGACCCTCGGTGGTGATGGCAGGGCAGTCCACACGGAAGACCCTCAGCCTGTCTGGCCTTGCACCAGGCTTGCCCCAAGTGGGGAGGGAGGGTGGCATCCCCAGCCCTCAGCCATGCTCTGGGCAGCGCCTCCCCTCGCGCCCCCTCGGCTGCACACCACTCCCACCAACATCCCCTGCACCTGGGGGGCTGAGGGACACAGGGGACTCTGGGAACTGATGCTTGGGGAGGGAGTGGTGGGGAGCCAAACGCTGCGGGATGATGGGACCCCATGGCTACGCTCCCCTAGGCAGAGGGCAAGCAGACAGCGGCCTCGTCTCTCCACAGCCCCTCTGTCTGCCTGTCTGTCTGCCTGTCTGTGGGCCTCAGGGCTGGCTCCAGGGTGACCTGGTGACTTTGCAGCCGGCGCCGTCCCTCCCTGGACCCTCATTCCTTGTTCCTGTGAGGCCCCGCACCCGCCACCCAGCCCTGGGGCCCGGCACATCCCGTTCCACAGGGAGCCTTGCTAAGGTCAGAGAAGGGGAAACACTTTGGGGTCGTGCTAGGGGTTCAGGCCCAGCTGGGAGGCCGCCTGCGGCCCCTTGAGGAATCGTGTGACTCCCCGGCTTGAGCCCTGACCTCCACCCCAGAGCACGGCCAGCCCCGCTGCAGGAAAGCCAGGCCCACCCAGGAGCCTCCTCACGCCAAGTGTGTCTGGCTCCCGCCCAGGAGATGGGGGGGATGCTGGGCCTGACTGCTCGTTTGCACACAAGGCTCCCTGCTGTTCCAGGTCCCCCACGTCCCCCCCTCCACCTCAGCCTGACCTTCTGTTTCACCCCACTTACCTCTCCACCCTTCCTGCAGCACCCCCTCCTTCCTTCTCTCTGGCTTGCTGTCTGGGGCAGGGCAGGGGCCACCTGCCTTGCCTCTCCCCCTCGGCTTTTCTCCATCCCACCCCGGTGAACCCAGAGGGTCCTAGTGGACCCCAGCACCATCCTCCAGAGGCCTGCACCCCTCTCAGGCCCTACACTCAGCTCCGTACTTGGTCTTAAGTCTGGTCACCCCCCACCTTCCTGCTGGTGGTCCGGGAAGGGCCTTGTCCCCTCATCCCTGAAAGCTCGCCTGCATGATGGGGGCAGGAGACCCGCACCCCCAGCACCCCAGGCCTACCCTGTCCCCAGCCTGTCCCTACCCCATGGGAACGGTGGCGAGAGTCATGCAGGGTGGGAAGAGGCGGCAGGGCTCAGGAATTGGCGGGGGACCGGGGGCAGCGAGTGTACCTTCTTGGACTTCCTCTGCAGAAGCAGTGCCATGGAGGGGGAGGGGGGAAGAGAGAACCAGTGTGAACCTCGGGGCAGAGATGGGGGTAGGGGGGGCAGCAGGCGAGCAGAACCACATGTGAGTGGGTTACACAGCCCCTCTTTTTCCTTCTGGGCCAGGCTGCCAGCTCACACCCACACACGGCCACATGTGCACACGCGCCCTTACAGGACGGAAGACATGGCACATACCTGGTTCATGAACTTCATGAACTTCATGAACTTCATGGGCTAAGGAGCGCCATGGAGCAAGGCAACACGCGGGTCAGAGGTCAAAGGAGAAAGGATCCGAGGTTAAAGGAAACAGCCGGTCACCCCAGAGGGGTCGGTGGCAGAGGCCGAGGGGTGGGGAGCATGCGGGGAGTGAGCAAGACACAGTCAGTGCTGGCCGGGGCCGCTGTCCCCCCGTCCTGTCCCTGCCTCACACTGGGGAAACTGAGGCTCTTGCTTCTGCTGTGACATCACTGCTGTCCTGGGGACGTCAGCTCCGTGGCTTCCTCTGCCGCCTCCCCCTTCCCGCCTCCCGCAGGCCCCTAGGAAGGACTCCACGCGGAAGCCTGGAGGTCCACACGTAGGGCTGCAGCTGGTGGGGTGACACCTGGGCCCAGAAGGGCAGGGCCTGCCGCCTAGGAAGCCTGGAGGACGCCCTGCTTCTAGTAGCCCAACAGCGGGACACACTCCCTTCTCTCTCCTAGCCTGCGAGAAGGTCCGCGTGGCCCCAGACGTCGGCTGCTCCGTCTGCTGATCCAAGCACGGGGCTCCTGAACCTTACATGGTCCACCCGGACCCCGAGGAGGGAGCCCACTGGGGCAGGCTGGAGAGGTGGCCAGGGAGCTCTCAGTTACCCTCCCTGGGGTGGGAGGCTGGGTTCAGGGACGTCCCGGGACCGCTAGGTCTACATCTGGTCCAGCCGTCCCCCACGTTTACCTACCCTCCCGGTGCCAGGGATGGGTGACCTCTGTCTGCAGCCCAGCCCATGTTGGTGGTGCTGGACCTTGAGGGGCCCCCCCTCTCTGGTCAAGCATTGGCCTTGGTTAGTGGGTTAGGTGGAGGCCACATGTGGGGGCCCTTCGGCTGGCTGGCCCCCCGCTGTCCTCGCCCTCCCCCACCCTGGCTCCCAGCCAGCCCTGGGCCCCACATGGGGACCAGAAGTCCTGGGTCCTCATACCTTCCTCATGGACTTCATGGACTTCTGCAGGTGGAGGGGGCGCTGGGCGTGCAGGTGGCGGGAGGAGAGAGGACAGGTTATGCCAGGAGCACACGGCACGTCCTCAGAGGGGGTGGGGAGCACGCAGGGGTCACCACGAGGGTCAGTGGGGCAGAAGGGCTGGAGTGTGCTTGCAGGGGCCGGCGTCCTGGACCCCTCTTACCTTCCTCCTGGGCCTCTTCTGAGGTGGGAGCCGGAGAGACAGGAGGGAAAGAGGAAACAAGGTGTTAGAGGGCCACACCCGGGCGGCAGGGAAGGAGGCAGCCCTGGGGGGAGGTGCAGCCGGAGCTCCAGGGGCCAGGCAAGGCTGGGTCCTGCACCCCAGCCAGGTGGCAAGCCTGCGGGGCCTCGGAGACCTCAGGGCCTTGGCCCCGTCTCTGCCAAGCGTGACCTCCTCCCTGGCCCTGGGGGTCTCTGAGTCCCGTACCCCTCGTCGGGGAGCTTGCCCTGGACTGCGACATCTGTGCATGGAAGGGTCTAGCTAAGTCTGACTCCAAAGGGGACGGAAGTGCGGACAGGGAGGAAGTCATGTTAGGGGAGACCCCCAGGAGATGCAGGGGCGTCCCCACATGGGCCTGAAGGCCGGCCTCGGAGGACCCTGCCCGTCAGCCCGGTCACCTTCCCCAGGGAAGGGCGGCTCCCAGGATCATGGCTCCCTCTCAAAGGCATCTTTCCACCTCTTCAGCGTAAAAAGAACTGTTTTGCTCACGTTGTTAGGGCATCCAAGTGTTTTCAAATCTTTTCAAAACCTAGTGCCCAGCATACCCCGCAGGAGAGCCCTGCCTGGTGAAGTTCGTGAGAGCCTTCCTGCGCCTGAGTGGGTGCCAGGGGCCGCACTCAGGCTCCCGTCTGGCCTGAGAACTGCCCGTGTGCACTCTCCCCAGGTGCAGAGGCTCCCTCGCTCCCACGCCTGTCTGGGCACCACTGGGAGGCTCCCGCAGACGCCAGGCGCAGACGCCAGGCGCAGGGAGGGCTCTCCAGCTCGGCCTGGAGGTCATTGCTCCGGGAGGGGAGGGGAGGCATGCTGAGAGAGACAGAGACAGAGATGGAGACGGAGATGGAGACATAGACAGGAAGAGAGATACAGAGAGGCAGAGACAAAGATGGAGAGAGAGACAGAGATGCTGAGAGGCAGGCAGGACCTCCACACCCACACTTGGTATTAATGAGGTGAGAGTCTGAACAACCAAATCCCAGCTAACTGCACACACCAGGGACACGTGAGATTATTATGTATACAGAATACATAGTAACATACAAAGTGTTAATGAACGATTAATGAGTATTCTCGAGGCAGACGGTTAGGGGTGATGGCAGATAGGAATTAAGGATGAGGAAGGTGGATGGTTAATTGGTGAGCTGGGAGGCCAGAGGCCCTGTGGAGATGAGGCTGGGAATACAGAACAGGACAGGAGGAGGCTGGGTCAGGGAGGTCTGGGGCGGGTGGGGCACATCTGGGACTGCCCTAGTTACCTTCCTCCTCGTACTCTTCTGCAGGGGGTAGAACAAAGGAGAGGAGCCAGTTAGAGGGCGACCCGGGGGCCAGCCTCGAAGGGGGGGGGGGCGGTATGACCCATCCCCGACCGTCAGGGATGGGGACCCTAGAGATGGGGACAGGGAGGAGGAGGAGGCTCTGGCCAAGCCAGCAGCTCTTGAGGACGGGTGTGAGCCACGGGTGCTGTGGTCCTACGGTGGGGACCATGGCAGTGACTGGCCAGGCCTGGGGTCGGCCTGGACAGCTTTGCAGTGCGGAGCACGGTGTGCAGACAGGCGGGACTGCACTTGGGGACCTGCCTTTAGAGAAGGGAGGCGCAAGGCTCGGGGCAGAAGTGGGAACCCCATTTACAGTGAGGAGTCGATCTAGACACGGCAGATCTGGGGCTTCCAGCCGGGGGTGCGGGAAGCGCCGTCAGCATTTGGAGAGCCCATCCCCAACCGGGTTTTCTGCCTAGAGGCTGACGCAGAGACGGGAAGTAGCTTTCACACTTACCCTCGACGTGCTCACTGTGGGGGAGAGAGGGGGAGAGGGAAAGGGGTCAGGGGGGCTTCTTTCAGCGGGGGTGTGACAAACACCAGAGGGGCCTCCGGCCGCCGGGCACAGCCGAGGTCCAGGGGCCCCGAGGCGGGCAGGTACTCACACTTCCTCGTCCGACATGGTGGGAGGGTGTTTCTGCAGGGGGAGGGGAGGCCAGGACAAGAGTTAGAAGTTGTCTTGGCCTAGAAGTAATGCAGTGGGGGGATGGCCTCTTGGCGCTGGGCTGGGAGGGACCGCCGTGGACAAGGGCCGAGGGCCAGCTCTCCGGCCTCGGGCGGGCCCACTCCTGCTCTCGGGGCCTCCTCATCAGGCCGTCTGGCTTCTTCCAAGGCCCCAGGCCCCCCACCCCTCAGCCTTCCTCGCCCCAGATCTGATCCCACTCCGCCCCCCTTCCTGCCCTGGCTCCAGCCTGGAGATTGGAATCCCAAGCTTGGACGGGATGCTGAAAGGTCGTGGCAGGGCAGGCCTCCTCTCCCCAGCATTTCCCGAGAAGGGCTGTTCAGAAGGCATGGTGCTCATCCAGGCTGGGGAGGGCCCTGCCAGCTGCTCTGGGTCGTGGAGAGGTCCCGCTCACGTTGCCTTCCAACCTGCCTCTTGGGGTATCTGCCCTCGGGCCTCTGTGTGGGGCTCCCAGGGAGACCCTGGATCACAGAGCCCCACTCTCCCAGAGGGGCACCCGGGCCTTCCCGGGCCTTCCCTGGCCTTCCCGCCCTCCTGCCTCTGGCTGAAGGCTTCCTGCAAGGGCCCCATGTCCTCTCCTGGGAGGGCCTGGGACCCCCCCTGGGGTCCCTCACGGCCCTGTGCAGAGCCCTCTTCCCTGAGTCACAAGAAGCACGAGCCGTTCCGCACCCCCGGCCCCCCGAGATCACGGCCACGGGGTCCAGGCTGCTTCTCCGTGTGTCCCCAGCCTTGTGCCCGTCAAGCCTGCGTGGACGCCCTGACCCTCCCACAGCCCGCTTTCCCAGGCCGCGTGGGTGCTCTTGGATTTGTCAGCGTCTGCAGGGAAGCTCTGTGCCCGGGCCTGGCTGCACACGTCCAGGTGCAGCCGGCGCCAGGCCAGCGCGCTCGGGGACTGTCTGTCCATGAGCTGGCCACCGCGCACGCCTGAGGCGGCCGGGGCCTGGGAGCGCTCCGAGCAGCTGCAGCAGAATGTTGGCCCAGGGTTTTGAGAACCAGAGTTCACGACAGCATGCTAAGGCTTACTTGAAGACAATAGCTGTGGCCCCCCACCCCTGGGGGCTCCGTGCGAGAAAAACACAAGTTCATCATCTAAACACGTGTCCACAGCGCGTTGCTAAGGCGGGAGCAGCGTTCCAGAGCCCCGGGCAAGAATGTTGATTTTCCCAGAGCAATTTAAGCTCCATGCAAAATCAGCCAGTGGATTTCGGCTAACCCCTCCAGGAAGCCAGGCAGCCCTTTCCCATCCCAAAGCCTCTTCCTGAGACTCTGCTGCCCCCTCAGGTGACAGCCTCCGGCCCTGTCTACAGCTGGGGTCTCCCTGCTCCTTGGCCCAGACCCTCGTGGTGGCCCTGCCCCTGCCCAGGCTCCTCTCTCAGGAGCCCGGCCCTCCCCGTGCTGTGCCCACCTTGCACGCTGGAGCGGCCCAGCACCTGTCAGCCTCCTTGAGAGGGGCGGTCATGGCCTGAGTCCAGGGCTGGGTTATTTTTAAGGAGCAAGTGACAGCTGAGGTGTCCAGAAATAGGCACCCAAAATAGCCAAGACACCTCTGCCCAGAAACCCAAGACGGCGGGAGGGGGACTGGGAAGGCGGCCGCCTGCTCAGGTCTTGGCCTGGCCTCCCTGACAGCCCCTCCGGTGACCCTGCAGGTCTCTCAGGCCCTGGCCCCCCATCTCGGCCTCCTGTCTTCTGCACCCGAAGGCGACACACAGGTGGGCTCCCGCAGCCCCAGGTGGGGTTGCTATGTGTCCCCCGCCCCCACCCCGACCCTGCTCTGTCAGGGAGAGGCCCAGGGTGGGGTGTGCCTGGGGGCAGGGTGGCATTCGACAGCTGAGAAGGAAACCAGTTGTCCAGTTAGCATTCTGCCCACAGAGGGGCCGTTGTCAAAACAGCCTCTGACGTCACCACTCCTTGAGGACACCCCGTCCTCCCTTCCCAAGTGACAAGATGGGGGCAGGGAGGCAGGAGCCCTGCCACTCACTAGCTGTGGGCCCTGACCGCTTGGCAGTGGCTCCTGGCCCGTCTCCTCCCAGAATGATCGAGGGCACTCAAAAGGAGCCACCCAGTGAGGGCGCCCCACCCCGTGATGTCAGGAGGGGCAGCGGAGCCCTGATCCCAGGGGGCCAGGAGCTCAGGCAGGGCCTCTTGGGAGCACGTGCTCCTCCGGCTCAGGAGGAGGGCCCATCTTCTCAGGCCGGCAGCACCGACGCCCAGCTCCTCACGCCTCCCTCTGGCCTGCCCCAGCCCGGGCGCTGCCCACTCCTGTGCCTGAGCCCTAGGCACTGCCGCCAGGCTGCAGGGTCCCAGCCACCCCTCCCCACAGGCCGCTCACGGGGTGAGTCACCCCAGCCCCATCTTAGGTTCTGTCTTTGCAGATGGCGGCATTGGAGGCAGTGGCCACTGGACGGAGAGCCCCAGCCTCCTGGGAGGAGCTAGCCGGGTGCCCCTCAGCTTAGCAGAGCCCTGTGGATGGGCCCAGACAGGCCGGGACGGCCGGGCACGGCAGCTCCCGCACCGCAGGAGGCCCCGAAGCCTGGGCCGCGCCGCTAGCAGGGCTCCTTGTCTCACATCCTCACCTCTCTCCAGCCGTCTGCCTGGGGGACCCCCCTCACCCCTGGGCCTCCCAGGAGCCCCGTTCTGCCTCCCCTCCAGCCTCCCTGCCCCTGTGCTCTGGTCTGGAATGGCTTCTTCCACATCCGATGTTCAGAGAACATCGCCCCACAACGCCAGCACCCCAGACCTCGGCACCCTGTGGGGCCTTCCTGGGTTCTCTGAGACACAGTGGTTGGAGCTGAGGGGATGGGAATGATGGCGTCCTGGAAGAGCTGCACCCTGGGGCCCAGAAGGGGCCGAGGCCAGCCAGCACCCAGCAGGCCCCTCCCAGCCCTGGGCGGCCGCTCTCAGCTGTACTGACCTGCGGCTGGGTCTAGAGAGACAGGCAGGAGCTCCCTGTGGACAGGACCGGCTCAGGCACTGCCCGCTCGGCCTCACACCCTCATGTTATAGTGACATTTGATCTTTCCCAGCAGCCCATTGGCCAGGGGCTGGGTGGCCGGGCGCGTGGGGCGGGCAGGTGGGAAGGGGCCGTGCTGTGAGGCCCCTTACCAAGTATAGGAATAGCAGGGGAGGAAACCCAAGGAGGCAAGGACGGGGGGGAACGTGTCTGGAGAAGGAGGCGAGGTCCACCCTCCTCCCCCAGGAAGTGTCAGCTTCTATTTTTACTCCCTCGACAGCAGGCACACTCTTGATGGACTGAGGAGGGTGAAGGAAGGTGTTGGGTGGCCCTGGGGTCACTGCCAAGTGCTCTCCTTGGGCCAGGCTGGTGTGGGGTCCCTGGAGCTGGGGTCCCAGCCGCCCCGCTCAGCTGCCCACTCCTTCCCAAGTGCTGCCCAGGAAGGGGTCTGCCCAGCCAGGCTGCATTACACACCCCAGGCCCCCGCCCCGCTGTCAGAGGGAGAGGCCCGAGGGCCCAAGAACCCCCGTGGAAGGAAGGACCCTGTCGGTCCTCAGTCAGGACCCCACCACATCTGGGCCCCACCAAGGGGCCAGATCTGGTTCTCTGGGGGAGGCCACCGGGACGTACAGCAGAAAAGGGGAAAAAACAATAACAATGCGAGCGGCACTGCTGGGGGTCTGGCATCTCCTGCAGCGGCTGGTCGCTCCCAATGCCAGGGCCACACCTCTACAGTCAGCCCAAGAGCTCCCCGTTTGGGGCTCCAGACCCCGCAGACCTCTCTCCCACCACGGCCAGGCTCCGCCGTGTGCCCGTGAGCCCAGTCTTTCTTTCCTCAGGACTCCAGGTGGCACCATCCAACCAGCAGACATCTCGGCCGGGGCCTTCCATGGTCCCCGTGCGTGCCAGTGAGGCCACGCGCTCCTACAGCCCGGCCTGGGATTAGGGAAACCGAGGCACAGGGTTGGGCAAGGGCAGCCTGGCACCTCCTTCCAGACCCGGAAGCCTCCAGGCAAGGGGCTGGCCAAGCACGGACGGTGGGTCCATGGAACGGCCTGGTCCAGACCAATGGTTGATGGCCGGGACCCAGGACAGAGGTGAATCCTGTGGAGACTCAGACGAGCCCCCAGCCCTCGGGAGGCCTAAGCCAGGGATGTCAGGATGGTGGGCTCACACACCGCAGCCCAGCTCCCTCTGGCTTGGTGCCCTGCTCTGGGCCCTCAGAGGCTTCTGGAAGACCTCCATTGGCATCTCAGCCAATTTCTGGAAGTTGAAGATAAGGCCACAGGGACCCAAGATCAGCAAGGCACGCCCACATTCCCACAGCAAGGGGAGGCAGAGCCCGGGGCTGCCGGCTGGCGGGACGGAGCCCCTCTCCTTCCCGCCCCCCAAGGGCTCCTGGGGGTGGGAAGCCCCCCAAGGCCAGAGCTGCTGGTGTCGTTCCTGCCTCCCTGCTCAGAACGCTGACCCCTCCTCCTGTCCGGTCTTCTGCGGGTGAGGGTTTGGTGGGCCACACTCAGACCTGGCCCTTGGCCAACTCTGACCAACTTTCCGTCCACGAGGGTCACCTGTAGAGCCACGTCCAGAAAAGGCCCGAGTGGCCTGGGGGCCACCCTGCTGTCTCCTCCCTGCAGTGGCCGCTGATATCCCCCCTCAGCGGACAGACCCCCCGGAAAACACAGAGATGCAGGTTCGCATGTGGAGGAAACACTGGAGGGACACTTGGCCTTGTCTGAGGCCAGGTTGGAGCATGTCCTGCAAAGCCCCATGCGCGTCCAGCCCCGCCCGGACTGGATGCTCTGCTCCTGGGAGCTGCTGGGCGCACTTTGTCCGGGCCAGGGATGTTCTTGGGGGCTGCACCCGCAGGTGGGCCCGCCACGGCCCTGCAGTGGCCCTGCTCGGCCAGCAGAGGAGGGTGGCGGCCCACTCAGTGGCCTTGGCCTCTGGCGGTGCTCTCCCGTGAGCGGGCTGAGCCAGAGAGCGGGCGCTGAGGTCGGCGGGACAGACAGGTTTTATTTTGGGTATCAGCGACCTCTTCCTCAGGGCGCCCGGCCCGCGGCGCAGCAGGACAGCACTGAGCGGGCACTGCTGGACGGGCCACCGGCTGCCGAGGGCCTGCGGCAGGTAATCCACACCCGGTACCCCTGGCCTGGCTGAGCTCGGGCGGGAGGCGAGGGCGGCAGGGCGGGGGCCTCCCTTAGGGGCTGGAGGGGGACTGGACACTGGGCGTGGAGGTACAGGACCGGGTGACCCAGCCTGGGCTGGGGTGGGGGACTGACCTCAGCCCCAGGAAGAGTCTGAGGACTGACGGCTCGGGGGCCTCCACCCAGCGGCACTGGGGGCTGGGAGGTGGGCTGCTGCCGGGGAGCGGGGAGGAGGCCGTGGGGGACAGCCCTCCCAGAGCCCTGGCTCCAGGTCTCTGCAAGGGCGAACCCCCAGGGTGGTGGAGGAGGGCAGAAGCCCTCAGTCTGGGTCCTGGCCCCGAGGGACCTTGACTGGAGCCTAGTCGCCCTGAGTGACCTGGGCACCCACGCTGGTGCCAACCTGAGCTGCAGGTCGGCCCAGCCCTCGGGCTCAGGCCCCGCCAAGCCCCAGATAGGAGCTGCTGACACAGCACCCGGGGGATGAGCCCTTCCAGCCCTGCAGGCTGCCGCCCCGCACGCCCTGCGAGCCTCTGCGGGGTCTGTGGGTCCCCGGTTTGCTCTGTGCGGGGCTGGCGTGCAGCGTCCGGAGCAGGGGAGCAACAGAATGTCTGCGGGGCCCTCAGGCGGGCAGGACGGATAGCAGAGGACCGGGGCCCAGGCAGTGGTCCCTCAGCCTCTAGACATCTGCGGTGGGCACAGCCTGACCCCTCAGGTTCTGTGAGACCCAGGGGCTGAATGTCCCCGCAGCAGAGGAGACAGACCCTGGGTCCTTGTCCCCAAGGCCGGGCTGGGTGCCAAGGACCCCAAGAGGGACTGGGGCAGGTCGGGGCTGTGTGACCGCCTGCTTTCCCAGCGCTCCCTCCCGCCCTCAGTGCTGCCTGCGCTGGCCCCGGCCCGCCGCCCAGTCCTACGTAGCTGCCTCTGCCGGCTGCCCTCGGCTAATGTCCCAGCCAGCTGGGTGGGAGGGGACAGTGCCCTGTCCCCTGGGAGACGCTCCCTAGCTGGCGGAGCATGGCCCTGGGTGCGGCCTCAGAGGTGGGCCTCCGGTGAGAGAAGGTAGCTGTGACTCTGCTGAGTTTAGCGCTTTCGAGCTGCCCACATTTGCCCCCCTGTCGGGAGGCAAGCTGAGTTTGACCACGAAGACACTAGAAAACAGGTTCTGAACAGAGCCAGGCCTGGAAAGTCTGAGGTCTGAGGGCATGGCATTCAAGGGGGCTCCCTGACACCAAGGGCAGCAGGGCCCTGAGTTAGAAACCAGGAGAAGGGGGCTGGGCTCGGGAGGATGGCCACACCCTGTCTCCCACTTCACACAATTGTCCATTCACTCACCCAGCCATTCATTTTCATACCTACATCCTCACATTCCCTGTTTCCCTCCTTCCTCCCTTCCACTCATCCACCCATCATCCATCCATCCATCCATCCGTCTGTCTATCCATCATCCAGACACCCATCCACCATCCACCCATCCATCATCCACCCATCCGTCCATCCATTTATCATCCATCCATCCACTCACAGATCCACACACACATCAGCCGTCCACCCACTGTCCTGCACAGTGTACACTTACCTGACTGCCTCTCCATCTCTTCTCCCATCTGCTCTCTACACAACTGTTTTTTCCACCCATCTGCCTCCCAAATCTTCTGTAAATCCACCCATCCACCCACCCCCCTATTCTTTATCAACCATCCATTATCCAATGATTCATCACCTGTCTTCCTATTTACACACCAGTCCATCCACCTACTGGTCCTGCCCTCCCTCCATTCTTCCATCATCCATCATCCGCTCAGCTGTGCATCCACCAAATCTTCACTGAGCACCTCCTGGGTGCTAGGCTGGGGGATGACCTCAAGGTTGGTGTTATCCTCAGAGGGTGTACAGTCTAGGGGCACAGTCCAGAAGTGCACACTGTTGTAGCTGCTGGAAAGTTTCGGACGGGCCAGTCAAGGAAGCAAGTGTCACAGAAGTCCTGGAGGAGGAGGACTGGACCCTGAGCACCACGTGCACCCTGACTTTGGCCGCCACACACTTCAGACCCCAGAGTCTAACCCAGCAGAAGGCCACAGGACAGGACAGAGTGTCCAAATCTGAAGGCTAGAGGCCTGGGTCCCACCCTTGTGCCAGAGGGTAGCCTTTCCAACCAGCCATCCCTGCTTCCTGTCAGTCCCATTAGTGAGAACCAGAGAGCCATTGCATGGGAACACATGGGGAGGTTTACTGCACATGGTGGAGGGGCAGCAAGTGGGGGGCAGGAGTGGGAGCAGGGCTGTGCCGGTGTTGGTGGCTCCTGACCGAGAGGGCCTGGCACGTGGCCTCTCTCTGCGACAGCTGCGCCTGCTTTGGGAGCTCATGGCTTCTTGGGGGGTGGTCCCTGAGCCAACAACCCAACTGTGAGGGGCAGAGCCCGGGGTCAGAGGGAGAGGCTGGAGGGTCCAGGAGCAAGAGGCTGCAGAGGCAGCGGGTGCTGGAGGCCGAGGGTGGGTGGGGCCGGCAGTGAGAAGCGGCTTCTTTGGCCGAGCTGGTGGCTAGTCGGGCCGGCCTCTGTCCAGGGCATGTGGGTCGGGAACCAGGAGGTGCCACCAGTCCATGCCGCAGTCTCAGGAAAGCTGAAACACAGGCACGGGGGCTGTTAGGCCACAGTCCGAAGAGGGCCGCAGCCCTGCCGTCCAACCCTGCAGCCCACCCCTGCAGCCCCTCCCTCATGGCTGCCTGGCCGGCCCAGGCCACCGCTCCAGCCGCCGAAACCCCATGCCCACCTCCAGCCTGGAAACCTGCTCCCGATGCCGTGCTCCGGTGCCCTGGGCCCTGCTCGGGACTTGGGGTCGAGGGACGCCGCCCCCCGCCTGTCTGCCTGCTGGCCCGGCCCCTCCCTGAGGCTAGAACTGGCTTCCCGCCGTTCCTGGGCCCCAGCCCCCCAGCAGTGGGCTGCAGTGGAGAGTGAGCCCCAGCAGGCCCCTGGGCCCTCCCCAGGCAGATCTGCTCCGGCTGGCAGAGCCGGCCCCTCGGCAGCAGCCCCCTGGCCTCCCTCCTCTCTCGGCCTGGAGGCCCTGGCTTGGCCCAGCCGCCATTTGTCAACGTCCTTGCAAGCACGTGGAGCCCAGAAGCCAGGGCGGGTGGCTTGGCCAGGACCACCCCAGCCAGGATGTCTGTGGGAACATCCCATTTAGCGCAGCTCAGCAGAGACCGCTCCCACCTCCCGGCCAGTCTACCTCCGGTGACGCAGCCTTTGCTTTCCGGAGCCTCTGGCCGCCACCTCGCCGCTGGCTCGCAGCGGACGCGCCTGTGGTCAGGCCGGCGACGGCAAGGCGGCCCTCACG